CCCCCCCCACAAGGACTCCCGTACGCATGCTGCGCCCGGGAAGCTAAAGCTTGGAACACGTCGAGGGTCCATCCGTGGTGCGGACGCACCACGTGTCAGTCATACTGACACGTACTCGGTCAACCAGTCATCCGGTCATCCAGATAAATCCGCAAGCGCACTCATCTACTTCAGGGCGCTCGACCCTCGACCAATCGTTTCTTTTGCCTTTTGACCTTTGATCGGGAAAAACCTCCCCGGTACTTGGAGGCGTTCTCTCTCCATTTCTCTCCTCTCTGTGTTTTGTTGTTGTTGTTGTTGTCTCATCCGGGAAAAGAGAAACGGCGAGAGAAACGAATAATCGGAAGATTCCAACAAGTAGTGCCTGTTATTATAATTGAGGAAGCTGAGGAAGCGCGCGCGTATGTCTCTAAGAGGGGCTGTCTCCTGTATTTTCTGTTATACGCAAAGGGGTGGGTCTGGTAAACGATGGGTTAGTTGTGTGTGCAAAGACTCTAGAGTATATCCTGGTGTGGTTGACGGGGGCCGTTGTTTTTGGTGGTTGCAGGTGGATTGTCGTCACCCCTGCAGCGCGCCGCGACCGCCTCGCCCCACGGCGGCACTGCGCCATCCACCCTCATATCCCAAGCACTCCCAAACCGCTCTACCCCGACACCCTCGTCAGCCACCTCGACGAGTTCGAGTCTCCTTTTCCCGCCACCTCTCCAAAACGTCGAGACGTTCGGCTCGTTCCTCGGCGAGGAGATCGTCGCCAACTGGAGGCGCTCCCTGGAGAGGTCGATCATGAGCCAGCAGCAACCCCAAGTGCAATCCCAAAGCCAGCAGCAGCCGGTAGCTGCCTTACACCCGCCGACAACACCGAGTCTAAACCACCTTCCGTCGCCAACAGATCCTACGTCAAGCTCGACGCCGGCCAAGTCGAGCACGCCCCTAGGAAGTGGTCTGGACGCCTCGGAGAAAGCACCGACGCCGATACCGGGACACGAAACACCGGCGCCGCCGACGCCCTCGTCGACCACGGCTCTCACGTCGCCATCGGCTCTGCAACCACCTCACGAACCCTCGGTCAACGGGGCGCCGCCGCCAAAGAGTCCCGCCGAGGAGTCCTGCCACCACAACAACAACAACAATTCGCATCACCTGACCAACAACAACATCGGAAGTACCGGTATCGGGGGAGGTGGAGGTGGCGGCGGGGGCGGAGGAGGAGGAGGAGCCGGTACCGGTGGCCTCAGCGTACTGGACACCCTCAAGAGTCCCTTTCGCTTCGACGACCGGACCCATCCATTCCGATTTGGGGACGAATTCGGCGCCGCCGGTATGGCCGGCCGTCTCGGAGAGTCGCTCATACCCAAGGGCGATCCCATGGAGGCACGGCTCCAGGAGATGCTGCGATACAACATGGACAAGTACGCCTCGCAAAATCTCGACACCCTACACATTGCCAGGAGAGTGCGGGAGCTTCTCTCGATACACAACATTGGCCAGAGGCTCTTTGCCAAGTACGTACTTGGCCTAAGCCAGGGCACCGTTAGCGAGCTTCTCAGCAAGCCCAAACCCTGGGACAAACTGACTGAGAAGGGTCGCGACAGCTATCGCAAGATGCACGGCTGGGCTTGCGATGACAACGCCGTTATGCTGCTCAAGTCTCTCATACCCAAGAAAGGTGAGTCTCTCTCTCTCTCTCTCTCTCTCTCTCTCTCTCTCTCTCTCTCTCTCTCACACACACACACACTCTCTAGCACTCTCATTCACTGTCTCCCTTTAACTCTCTTAAGCTCTCTTTACTCACTTCCCCTTTATATCACCAGTTCACTTCTATATCTCCCCTTGTACTCCTTGCCCTTTTTTTCTTCTATGTATATACCTATCTCTCTTTCTCTTTTACTCCAATCTTCCTCTATTTCTCTTCGACCCACGTCCCCGCTATACAGCGAAGCTCTACGTTTTCTTGTCTATATACCATTTACCTCACATGTCCACAAGCATCGTGTAGACACTTTATAGGTATCAATCGTTATCTCATACTGTACTGCACTGCGATTACTTACATTCCCATAATTGACTAACCATCAAGGTAACACGCGCCACAGCTAATACACGGTAACCGCTCAAGAATAGGGGTGGCTCTAGCACTTTCACTCATATTCATACTCCCTTTCGAACTTACAGTCCCTCTATGCTCGCTCTAACTGCACAGCTTCAGTGCCGCAAGTCAACGGGGGTTCTGAATATAGCTATTGAATGTATGTAACGCGTGTAGATGGAATATATTTTTAATGTCATAAACGTCGTATTTACATGCGAAATTATCCAGGGAAAATAAGAGGCTGAAATTCGTTTGGCAAAATTTAGATAATGAAATTTCAAGTTATCCGAGTATTGCAGCAATCTAGATTAGCTCTTCAGAAATATAGGAACGATGCACTAAAACGGTAATAATGTCCTTCAGTTCGGGGGTGAACGGGGAGAGCGCCGTTCTTATTGGGTTCAGGAGGTTCGGGTTGTTCAGAGCGCGAAAGGGCACTCCGACAATTTGCCGAGGACTTTCCCATGAATAATATTAATTATCTTAATGAAATTACCCAAGCGACGCTATACCTGTCGCCTATCGATTGTTTGCTGCGTTTGTCAGCCATATTGTTTAGACTAATAGCTCCTGGGAATAAACGGGAATGACGCTGAAGCCGTCACCTTCGCCGTTGCCGCCACATCACAATCACCAGACAAACTGGCCGAGATTACTCGCGATTTCAAGTCTCACGCCGGTCTGTATTTACCGTCCAAGGCAATTTACACTTTTCCCTTATCCCGCTAAAATTATCAGCTGATTGTTAGCCGGCGTGCCGACCACTCGCCGTCAAAGGATATCAGCGTCAAATGAAATACAACCTGGTACGCTTCTTACAGGTTTAGAAGATTATATAGTCTCTCCGTATAACCGTATACGTATAATAGTTTCACGTACAAACCCACCTATGATTCAGAACGAGAAAAAAGAAACGAAACGAAGGATGGTCATTTGCATTCGAGTCACCGAATGAAAAGCGGCGTGCGATATTGTGTTGATGCGTAAAGAGAGAACGGGGATCGAGAATACATCATTTCATATTTTTTCCCCTTTTTTTTTTTTTTTTATTCAATATTAATATCAATTGAAAAGGATGCCGGTAACTGTCATAATGGGTGCTCCATCCGTCCGGTCCACGAATGGGAGGGATAAAAAAACATACGGCTGAAGGAAAAAAAAAACACGGCATAAAACGGACATAAAATATTCAGTAATTCAGCTCGGGCGCAACGGTGACAACAGTCGTGCATCAATGGATTGTCGGTTTCCGTTAGATCCACAGATAATCAGGGCTTTCCAGCGTGGACGTATTTAAAAGAGTACCACGGAGAGACGCCCGAAGGGGGGCGGATGAATGAAAGCAGAGTGGAAAATATAAACGGAGAAAAAAAACACCCTCGCGAACAAAAGTGAGAATCGAGTCGCTATAACCGATCCGAATAGAACAACTAGGGAATTGTGCAATTGAGTAAAATGGTGGTGGGGTGGAAGTAAATCGGCTCTGGAAGAGGGTCAAGAAGAGTGGGTGCGGGAGACAGAAAGGTAGGAAGGAAGAACACGTGTTGAAAGTGACCCCAGGAAATCAACCCTCCGACCTCTGACCCTGTTCAACCATAAATGCGTGTCCCCTGTTCGCTCGTTCTCCATCATCTGTGTTCTGGTGTCCGGGGACTTGAGCTACTTTGCCATTTCGCCGTTTTCCCAATGGCCAGGAAGGAAAAATAGAGTAGGCACTCGAGAGTTGAAGAAAAAGGATCTCCGAGGTGTCTTCTTCACTGTCACCAATTTCTTCCGTGCCCACCTTCCCCTCTTCCCAATGAACTTCTTTCGCCACTTCGTCTCCTGCACTACTTCCGAAGCTTCCTCTGTATCCACTTGCAGCTTCAGCTTTCGCTATAGATATATATATATATGGGTCACAGCGAAGCGATTAATGAGCTAGGACTTTATAGTACGGAGAGGAGGTCGCGACCTCTCTACTTGGTTCCTTAAGCATCTGCAACCAAGTGCCACCGGAATACCGGGTCAAAGATTCCGGTACTCGTTGACCTTTATCATCAGGAGGCATAGGTGTAGCAGAAGAGAAAAATAGGGAGAAGTAACGAAGAATGAGAAGCAACGTTCCTATCTCCTGCTGAAGTCTTCTCCTTCTTCCTCCTCCTGGTCCTTCTCTACTACTCGTCAACCCTTTCACTTGTTTTGATCGCTAATTATTAAAGGTTTTGTCTGCTACCCCCGCTGTTTATAAATACAATGAGGCCCGCGACTCAATGGGATAAATATACTGGGAGCTTTGTCTGAAACTTCCATAATCAGTCGTGATTTATGGGCAAAAATCAGCGCCTTTATTCGAGCTGAAAGCCGACAGCGCGCCATTCCGAGCCGAGCCGAACCAACCCGAGTCGATCCCGCTCGGCCATCGCGTACCCACTCGTGTACGGGTCTTCGGCGTTCCGCGTTCACCTTCCCGCAAGGAAGGATGCCGATAAAGCGTTAAAAAGATAAGTTCGCTTGCTAAATACCAAGCCTAACGACTTATTACAATATAGACAGGCCAAGCGCGGGGAGCTACCTGCCTCTGCGCTTCTCTATAGATCCGTTCGAGTCTCTCGCGTCCTAAGGGCTTCATTATATTCAAGTCCGCCTGGCGAACCAGCCAACATTTATCACCTGCTGCTCACACCTTAAAAATACATTCTTCGCTCTTTACGCTGTCTGAACACCCTGGAATTCATTGTCGGGCCAGGTCATCGTCCAATACAGTATGCATGGGACCATAGATACTGAAGAAAAAGGACGGTGCCCTTTTTTTCCATATGATTAAATACATATGTATATATATACGTACATATATATATATATATATATATATATATATGGCTGTACCGTAATCTACGTATGTATATACATTGTCGGGAAAGTCGCTAGAAATTACGTGGGAAATCGAGCCGCGGCCATTTTCATCTGTCCGCATAGTCAATTTTTAATTGCATCCGACCGGAGGCACGAACTCTACTCTGAACTGTACCACTGCCATATTTCAGCGTCAATTAGCACACTGGCCCGACGTAACTATCGAGTGTGAACGAGTTTCGTTCGTTAGGAGCGACTGATTTTATCGGATTTTTATGATATCACCTCCTGCTTCCCGAGCCGACAGCAACAATACCGGGATCTGACGAACAATCGATGTTTCTTAAGCGCGAGGTCGCATTCCCACGAAATTATGCCAGATTTTGTAATCGAGTATTGTTAGCTACCTATCGTTAGATATATATACCCCTCTGCATGAACATATACGTATACTCGCGTGTTAAACTCCTGCCTGCAGGTTCCTGGCATCCTACCCGTTCACCTACCTGCCTCTATACCCGATCCTATTCGATGCCTCCTCCTATCGCAGGGACAATTTTGAAACATATAATCACTGCAAAATACGGTTTCCTTCTGGCTGGTGTTTCGCTAGACGGCCATTGTTCCCTCCCCAACAATTATTAATTCCGCGCTTATTTTAAAAACTCAACTTGACAATTTCATCTAAATCAAAACTTTGCCGGACCCTTTTTTTCCCCGTCCGCCAATGTTATCAAATATGTACGATAATAAAACGTAGAACGTCATCGATGATCTTTCAATAATCGTACGGCGACTGCTATAGTGGATAACAATTGACACGTGTCGCTCTTACAAGTCATGCGATACGCAGTACCTATCTTATTCCGTATATTTTTTGTATACCACGGAACTGCCCGAAATTCGTTAACGGAAACTCGTTAAATCGCGATAAGTCGTTTTCGACGTTAAAACATGCTAAAACTTTTCTGATTGGATAGTGAAAGCACAGCGGACTCTGTGTGCGCCGCGTGGCCGCATGGTCTCATGGTGCGTGGCCGCAACGGCCGTATGGACATAGTCCCGGGCGAAACTGTGGCCTCATTTTTTTTTATCGTCCGGTCTAATATACATATTTCAATGATAATAATAGGCCAGCCCTGGGCCACGTATACAAGTGTGTATTTCTCAATGTACCGCGGTGCTTTCGTGAACCCGCGTAATTATTACTGTCTCGATTCTTGGTAACGATCGTTATCGTAAAAACGTCATTCTCCTCTTGGGCCTCTGCGAGAATCCACGCAGTCCACAAACTTCTATACCCACTATCCGCTGATGTACAATCGAATAGGGGAGACTCTGCCAGAATACCAAGGAATAACAGTACCACGATGCACCTCCCGATACAACAAAGAATCGGTGTTCGGTAAGAAGAGAAGAAAAAATAACATGGCTTCCCCTCGTATTCATCCTCGAGTAACTATAAAGTACATAGACCAGTACTAGTAGCCAGGCAGAGTCAGGCAGTCAGGCAAAACCGTTGGCATAAGTTGAAATCTCTTGGCAGGGAGTCAAGCATTGCGACAATGCACATAGGTACGTACATGTCTACCAGCAGTGTAGCCACTGTATACGGACAGTCCCGGATATCAAGTACAGGGACAGAAAATCAGGGTGGTTAAAGTGGGAGAGATCTCAGGGGTTGGTCTCCCTCTGTGTCTGGGCCAGGAAACTAGACTAAATAAAGACCGGACTAATAAAGTGTCATTGATTGGACGATTAGATGACTTCGAGAACCTGGGAATGATTTTCTTCGCCAAGCAGCGCAGTGCATTCTTGGAATTCTTTCGAGGTCTCTTATTGGCTATAACGCGAAGGTATACGAGCCGCGACATCTAACGGGTGGCGAAAATACACTGTCGGCGACAGAAATGAAAAAGAATTAGTAGATATATATTACACGTGTATATATGCATGTAGACGTAAATGTGTCGGGTGTATCTCGGGGGTAGTCACGGATTCTCAGAATCAGTCTCTCGACACTCGACTTCTCAATTGCACTCGGGGTGCAATCAAAGGCACGATCGATAGCTGATTCATCCGAATCTTGCGGCTGATTGGTCAATTAGATGGGAAACACGTAGGAGGACACTCTTAGCCATGGGTCTCTGCATAGGAGTGGGCAAAGGGTACGGAGGGGGTGTCAGGGGTCTACGAGACCGCAAGGGAGGCTCCGCAAGAGGATATTTTAATTATCATGGGTACTCCGACGCCCGTTCCTCTTATTGATTTTATGTTATATTAATTGCTTCCTGGTTCGATTACGCTCGAATCGAGCTTTTCGCATTACGGCCTTATGATTTTCACGTGGAATTTAAATTGGTTTCCATATCGGTGTCCACTGTATCTTTTACTGCTAATTCCTTATGTACGCACTCTTGCGTAATTATCACTTTTTGGTCTTTTTATAATATATATTACCTTGTCACTTTTCATCTTCATTTTATGCATAAGGGTGGCTCTTTGGCTATTCTGACTGTAGAGCATCTTTTTGAAATTTTTCAACATTGTTTTATGCTGCTGTACCGTCGGCGGGAGTCTAGGCAATAATATATTGCTGAGTTATCTTGCACTAGAGTCTGGACAAGCCATGTGTGTACATTTATACGTATGTGACTTTACATTGTCCAATCTTTCGCTTCAATGAACTGTATCGGTCGTTGAGCCATTTGTAAATCCCTTTTCTTCTCTTCCTGGTAGAATTGAAATGAAGTTTATATACCCAAGTTATAGGAAAAAGATAGAGCACGTGGGGTAGGGATGTGCTCATGAAACTTTAAAATTGGAATCGTTAATGAATGTCGACAGATTACCTTTAGTAAGTGGGCGGATGATGAGCGCTGTAAAATAGTGGGTTTGATCTAGGAATTATTTATTTGGCTATGCGTAGCAAGGTAATATAATACTTGGAACGATTAAGGGAAGCCCAGGTATCAAATAGTGCCGGTAGTATTGACAAAAGGCTGGTCCAAGGAATATATCAATGTTACCGGGAATAAAGGAAAAGGGAGGCGTACGGTGCGTGTTGATGCGTCCAAAGAAAAAGTACCTCACCGTGGAATCATTGCGTGCAGCAATGGATGCTTGGAATGATCTCGACACGCGATACAAAAATGTTAATAACAACAGCCTCCGTCTACGGCTGCTAGTTCACTGCGCCTTTCTTCATTTCATATTATTCACATTTTTCCATCTCTTCGTAACTTCCTGTTTAGCCGTCAGCCATTATTCTACCTGATTTCCCATACAGCGATCTCTCCAACGTGTACATTTTTATGTTATATCTTGATACGAATTATGGCTACCTGCAATATTTATGGTTACACAAATTTTAAATTTTTCTGAATGACCGTATAATATATAATTATTGATTATCCCATCGATCGGCAACGTGATTGATTGAGAACAAACCACAAGTTGTGTCTCACCTGTAGAGTATGTTTCAGGCAAGGAGCAGGGAATGCCGGCTTTCGCCAGAGGTCCTCAGGACGGTGGTCCACCCGATATGAGCGACGAGAGGCTGGCCCACATCCTCTCGGAATCAGGACACCTGCAGATGAGAGGGGAGCACGAGATGTCGAACGACGCCGACAGCAAGAGTCCCAGTAGGGTCGGCTGTCCAAGTCCTTTCGGCAAGGATCGGCTGGACAGCCAAAACAGGAGACTGAAGAAGTACGAGAACGATGACATTCCCCAGGAGAAGGTTGTGAGGATCTATCAGGAGGAGCTGGCGAAACTCATGGGAAGAAGGGTCGATGACGTAAGAGGACCTCGTGATTTTCCCCCGAGGTAAGACGGCCAAGTCCTTTAGATTAAATACGTCATCAGGGACATCATCGGGTGACGTAGAAATTATGGAAAATTTGTTTTTCAACATCTTGATGACTCATGTACTCTGACCATGGGCGTGGGGCTTGTCTACTGGCGCAATTAGGGAAGCGGCCTTGGCCAGTCTCGAAAACGGTATCAGGCTGTATTTCTTGTTAACCTCGTGCCACCTTTTCCGTATCGTATTTTTATCATGGCACCATCCGGTGGTTCCGGAGTGATGCCGATGACGAACGGTGCCGGTAACGTTGTCCGCGTATGAATCAGGTTCTCTACTGTTCTTTTCTTTGTTTTTTTCTTCCTCTTCTTCTTTCCTCGAGCCTTTTCCTAAGAATAACGACAGGGCATTTCGCGAAAATCGTGCATGAATCACGTTGAGCTTCGAAGCCAACGTCACTAACCCAGGAGATATCATTGGGACGATGGGATATTTCTAAAATTAAGGTCTGAGTGTGCACACTTCTTACGCTGAAGATCTCTCGCTCACTCTTCACTCTCTTATTCTCTCGCTCGTTTCTCACTCGACAACCGATATCTATACTTACACGCATACTTGTAATATTAATATTTACTTGACACGACTTCGTTTTACCAGCTCACTGACGTATCGCGACGTCGTATTATTACAGTTTTTAGACACTCTTATCGCACTTTACTTCGTTCCTGGAGTTCATTAGGATCTGATTTCGTTTTATAAATAATGCGTATGATACATTGTTTAAAAGAATCTGTAAGTTTTATCCCGATTGAGTATTATTGAGGACAGCACGTAACCTCGATTGATCGTAGCGCGATGTTTCCCCACTTTTTCAGTGGCGCCCAGGGTCTCCAGGGTATGGAGAGGACTCAGGAGGAGATAAGGCTGGCGTTGGATGCCTATCACCGTGAACTCCAAAAGTTGAACACGGCACCAGGGCAGAATCCAGCGTTGGCGGGACTTCCAGGACTTCCAGGATTGCCAGGACTGCTGGCGCTGCAACAGCAGGCTCTTCAGCAGCATCATCTGGCCGCGAACGGCGGTGGCGTGCAAGACCTTAGTCTGGGTAAGGTCGACCCCAGGAGCAAGATGATGAACGGAGTCTCCGAGGAAGAAAAAGAAAAGATGGAAGAGGCTATGAGGCACGCTGGGAGTGCTTTCTCTTTGGTCCGACCCAAGCAGGAACCCAGCGGACCCCAATCTACCCCTGGTGGCTCCAGTGCCAGTTCACCCCTTGGCAATTCCATACTTCCACCTGCCATGACGCCCAGTGAAGAATTCTCAGGAGCAGCAGCCGCGAGTCCACTCCAGAGGATGGCTTCCATTACAAACAGTCTGATCAGCCAACCGTCCACACCGACTCATCATTCATCCAATCAACGTCCACTGAAGGCAGTCCTTCCACCGATAACGCAGCAGCAGTTCGATATGTACAACAACCTCAACACAGAAGACATTGTCAAGAGGGTACGTATGCTTGTACGTATGCCTGCGGATTTCTATCGCATCCTGGAGCTTCTAATCGTTGTTTTCTTACGTATTCGTGTTATCAGGTGAAGGAACAGCTCTCGCAGTACTCAATTTCTCAACGTCTCTTCGGCGAGTCCGTCCTGGGACTGTCTCAGGGCTCGGTCTCTGACCTTCTGGCGCGTCCTAAGCCCTGGCACATGCTTACGCAAAAGGGTCGGGAGCCTTTCATTCGTATGAAGATGTTCCTCGAGGATGACAACGCTGTACATAAGCTCGTTGCTAGCCAATATAAGATCGCCCCAGAGAAGCTCATGAGGACCGGCGGCTACGGCGGCCTGCCTCGTAAGTTTAACTCAGGTCAATATAGATGTTTTGTTACTTTATTCAGAGTAGTTCAGGCAGCTCCTTCAGTCAGAGGCTTAACAATGCCATGAGATGAGTATCTACTTTTTGTGAAATTATTTCTACCCCACTTGAACAGAGTTGAGCCTACACGGAAGAGCTTCTGGACTACGTCGGACGTGGACGACTCAGTCGATATGACTAACGATTAGAATTCTTTCTTTCAGCGTGTGGAACGCCCATGAAACCGATGCCCCCGACGAAGTTGGTCCAGGAACAGCTTCAGAACGCTGCCAAGGCACAGGCGGCGGCGCAGGCTGCGGCACAAGCAGCCGTTCAGCATCAGCAGGAGACCCAAATGCAGCTTGGACCACCTCAACAAAGTCCGCAGCATCCCCAGCATCCCCAGCATCCTCAGCCACCTCCGCCGATGATGCTGACTCCCCCTGGACCTCATCATCCGCACGGACAAATAAGCATGCAGGAGCTACAGAAGAAACAGCAACAGATGAGTCTTCACTCTCCGCATCATCAGATGACACCGTCTCCACTTCGCAGTTTGCATCCTCACATCTCCCCGAGTGTTTACGAGATGGCTGCCCTTACTCAGGATCTGGATACGCAGACCATCACGACGAAGATCAAGGAGGCACTTCTCGCGAATAATATCGGACAGAAAATATTCGGTGAGGCTGTTCTGGGCCTTTCGCAAGGATCCGTCAGTGAGTTACTGAGCAAACCTAAACCTTGGCATATGTTGAGCATCAAGGGTCGAGAACCCTTCATCAGGATGCAACTCTGGCTCTCCGATGCGCACAACGTAGACAGACTGCAGGCTTTGAAGAACGAGAGAAGGGAAGCTAACAAGAGGCGGCGCAGCAGTGGACCCGGTCACGATAACAGTTCGGATACCTCGAGTAACGACACAGCTGAGTTCTACCACGCGGCGTCCCCGGGTCCTGGACCGGCGTCAGCCAAAAAACAGAGGGTCCTGTTCTCTGAGGAGCAGAAGGAGGCGCTGAGACTAGCATTCGCTCTTGATCCCTATCCCAATGTTGCCACGATAGAGTTCCTGGCGAGTGAATTAGCCCTATCATCCAGAACGATAACGAACTGGTTTCACAATCATAGGATGAGGTTGAAACAGCAAACGCCACACGGGCAACCAGAGCCTCAATCGCCTCGGGAACCTGGACAGCCCTTTGACCCGGTTCAATTCAGACTGCTTCTAAACCAAAGATTACTAGAGATCCAGAAGGAGAGGTTGGGTCTGGGTAACATGCCCATCCCTTACTCGCCATACTTCAACCCTAATCTAGCCGCTCTGGTGGGCAACGCTCTTAAGGAGCAATGTTCGGGTCTAGACCTCTCAATGGGAGCCCTTAAAAGGGAGCCTAATCAAGAATTCGAGGACGAAGATGCTGAGGATGCCATGAGCAATCTAGGTAGCGAAGACTCGGACGGTTCGGCTGGTAGCATAAAGCGAGAACCGACGGAGACGCCGGCACCGACGACTGCCAGATCAAATCGGAGAAAACCAGCAGCGCCTCAGTGGGTCAATCCCGAGTGGCAGGAGCCAGCGAGAACCGGTGACGAGGTCATCATCAACGGGGTCTGCGTAATGCAGACCGACGACTATGGCGTCAAGAGAGAAGCTGAAGAAACCGTAAGAGTTGAGCCGACGCCAGTTCAAGACAGATACGAGGAGGACGCCCAAAGCGACGTATCCTCCGTATCCGGGAACAACGGTCAGGATAGGGACAGTCCCATGCCAAGTCTAAAATCAGGACAGAACAGTCCAGCGACCTCGCCGAGGCCGCCATCCGTGCAACAGACACAACAGTCGACGGAGGAAAGTCCGAAGGACGTGGTGAAACACGAACCCGAGGAAACGGCTTGGGATTACTAAAGAAAATCTCCATTCTAAAGACTCTCGGCGAGGACCTAGAACAATACGCGTGATGTAGCCGGTAGCACCACCCTTGCCAGTATAAATTCCCATTAAGGCGTGAAGCGTCAGCCAGGGAACTAAATAAAAGAATTACAAAAATAACCAGCGATAGGATATCAGTGCCAGTGCCGTATCCTGCCTACGTGACGAGGGCATTATGATCCTGTAAAGTGCGATTAGAATTGCGCACTAGCGAGGACTTCCTCCCGAGGTGATCAGCAGCTTGACACGACCAGTGCCGTAATGTAGTGAGTGTCAGCGGGTAGTGCGCGTACCGAGAGACAGAGCGAAATCAAAAGAAAAAGAAATGAGAAAGATACAAAAAAGAAATGAAAGAAAGGAAAACGTGTACGAAGTAAACAAGCGAAGAATAACAATCGTAAAGATACGTACAGCTAATAGAAAAGTGACTAAAACTTGCAATTAGTGAGAGTGATACTCGTGTTCGGTGCATTCGGTGGGATAGGCATTACCGCATATACGCTCTGTATATATATACATGGACATCGCGTGTCGCGACGCCGAGCGTCGAAATTACGCGGACGCGCCGCCATCACGGTAGCGACTCGAATCCCACCGAGAGACTAATCGCTTATTTTCATCACCCGGGGTATCCACGAAAATCATTGCCGTCATCCCGATGCCGATGATCGGGATGCAGCCCGCCGGCCCTTCGAAGCTATTGGGCGGTGCTTCCTTCGAAAGGCGTCGCTACGCCCTGACGTCACCAGACGACAGGACAGTCCACCCTCGTAGAAGAGAAGCAGTAACTGTTCAAGGGCCACCACAGTGCAATCTCCCGTAAACGTTGTTAGATCAAATCATTATTAATTTTTAATTAAATTAAATAGAGCGAGTGCGTATGACTGACTGAACGAATGGATGACTACGTGTGCGAGAAGGAGAGAGAGCGTGTCTGCAAGAGCGAGTTGAAGGAGCAATTGCATAATTGTGATTCATGTTATCGTTTATATCGGCCTCTAGTGGTTAAGCTGTTGATGTTATATTTCTCTCACGTTACGTATCGCTTCTTCATCTTTTTTTTCATTCTTTTTCTTTTTTTTCTTCTCTTCCTTCTCTAATTCATCCTTCCACCTGTACCCCTCGTTTCCCACTTCCTCACTCCAAATCCCCATTTATTCGTAACACTCTCGATCCTCGCTCCCAAGATGCTTCACCATTATTTATAAAAAGCACGCAAGAAAAAACAATGATAAAGAACACTTAAGCCCGTTACCATTGTTATCGATACTTCTATTACGATTATCAGTTATCCCTACTATTACTGCTATTGCTATTAGTTTACTTCATTATTATTAGAATACTTTATTAATCGATATTGATAATTAAATTACACGGTCGAACGACGTCGCTACGACGCTTTCTAGCCAAAAGGAGAGACAACCGAGATAAAACGAAGTTTAAAGTTTAAGCGTCGACAATTTTATCTTTGCCCCTTTTCTATTCTTATATTTTACGGAAAAAAAAAATCGACGTACAGCCAATGGCGACGTGGCCATTCTGTAGCCGAAACAATGCAAACGATCGCCAAGAGTACCGATGACTATTGATATCACTATTGTGAATTCACACTATATACTATTTTATTATTATTATTATCACGATCATTATTACTATTATTATTATTGTCGCCTATTATTCACGAATATTCTGATTCTGAATCTTTATTATTATTGATTATATTAATTATTATTGCTATTGTAATATTATTATTATTATATTATTATCGCGAAAACGAAAATGGCTTCTGAAGCCAATGTGATAGAGCTTACGTGCGACGACAGAGAATTAAAAGAGAAAGAGAAAAAAGAGATTGGGCCATATGGGTTTCATAAAATCCTTATGGTACGAGAACTTTATATTATGGGTATTTGTGCGTGCGTGTGTGCGTGTGTGCGTGTGTGCGCGTGCGGGTAACAATGAAAATGCGATGTGAACGTGCGTACATTAGTATTGCGGTTTCTTAACTCACCCGTGTAAATAATTGTACAAAAAGAATATTGAAATCCCAGTACTCGTTCAAGAAACAGGCCCCAAGATAGACAGGAGACAGGCGATAGCGAGTGGGCACACATTGTATATTATATACTATTACTTATTACTCTTGAAATCCTGAGAGCACGGAGTATAATGCCGAGTTGTATGATAGTAAGTGAGTGAAAGAGAGTGAGTAAGTGAGTCTGAGAGAGAGAGAGAGAGAGAGAGAGAGAGAGAGAGAGAGCCACGACTTTGGCCTACCACAAGGACGAAAAAATTAAAGATAAAAAGATTTTCAAAGATTTAGCTGTCCTTGTGGGGGGAGGGGGGGGATTGCGTGAGAGTGAATGAGACTTGCGAGGGAAAGAGAATGAGTGCAAGAGAGAGTGAGAGAGAACGTAACGAGTGATGTTTGGGCAAAAGAAAAATTGGAAAAATAAGTACAAGAGAGAGAGAGAGAGAGAGAGAGAGAGAGAGAGAGCCACGACTTTGGCCTACCACAAGGACGAAAAAATTAAAGATAAAAAGATTTTCAAAGATTTAGCTGTCCTTGTGGGGGGAGGGGGGGGATTGCGTGAGAGTGAATGAGACTTGCGAGGGAAAGAGAATGAGTGCAAGAGAGAGTGAGAGAGAACGTAACGAGTGATGTTTGGGCAAAAGAAAAATTGGAAAAATAAGTACAAGAGAGAGAGAGAGAGAGAGAGAGAGAGAGAGAGAGCCACGACTTTGGCCTACCACAAGGACGAAAAAATTAAAGATAAAAAGATTTTCAAAGATTTAGCTGTCCTTGTGGGGGGAGGGGGGGGATTGCGTGAGAGTGAATGAGACTTGCGAGGGAAAGAGAATGAGTGCAAGAGAGAGTGAGAGAGAACGTAACGAGTGATGTTTGGGCAAAAGAAAAATTGGAAAAATAAGTACAAGAGAGAGAGAGAGAGAGAGAGAGAGAGAGAGAGAGCGAGAGAGAGAGAGAGAGAGAGAGAGAGAGGGTAGAAAAAGGACGAGAGACAAACGTTATCCTCGATATTACGAATCAAACTAGTATTTACCAGATTAAGTCACGTTTAATCTCCGATTAAATTCTAGTCCGCAGCTTAAAAAGAAAAATAATTAAAAAAAAAAAGAGAGAACTTAAGAAAGAGCGCGAATGTCGTTCCCACGTGTGCGAGAAGAAATGCGAGTATGACTCTGAGAGTGTTTGAATTTGCGAAAGATCTGGGAAAATTGATTTTAGAAAGAGGAAGGGCATTGCAAATGAAAGACCAGTGATCGACTTTTTATTTTATTTTTTTTTTTTTTGTATTTTCATCTCGTTTAAGATTCTTACAACGTTTTATCATATAGACGAGTACGTAACGCGACGATAACGTATTTGTACATAAGAATTAACAAGCGAAAGCGACGTCTCGTTAACACTTAATGAAACAAGAAGTAAAAAGGCACTAAACTTTGCAATAGAAGAGAAGTGGAAGGACGGTTTAGTGATTTTTGATAAGTATCATCATCGATCGCTAACAGTTGACAGGGTCATCGATAACAATTGGCGATAGGGCAAAGTATTGAGAATGGCATAATACGTCAAAGAGGAACAACGATAAAAAAAAAACAACACAATAAAGAGGAAAAGAACTACGATCTCAAAACACTAATACCAAACTAAATTATTTAAATTGACTTAGCCTAAATACCATTTCTCTGACTTTTTTTTCTTCATTTTTTTTCTTCTTCTTCCATATTCTTCAATCACGAGGATCCATATTACAGATCTTTGGTTGTCGCGCAAACTACTGCATTCGCGTTGCATCACGTGCCACCAAGGGCTCAGCTGAAGTCACCGAGAGTAAAATCAAACCGGGGTCAAAGGTCAGGTCGGGAGGACTTTTTCAGCTGCCGGTGATGGGAATGACCTCGTACGACAGGAGACTTTAACGCCTGGCGTTATCATCCCCTTGTTAGAATCGCACGGATCCTCGCGTCCCGTCACTCTTATCACAGCTATCTTATCAGTATATTTTCCTTGAGGATGACGCGATGCGATTTCCGGTTTTGGATACTTTTCATCATTGGCAGCTGTTAATCGTCGATTTAACGATGAGATCCAATAATCATCCCTTAGGACAAACGACATTGGCACTGATGTCCAGGTTCTTGTAGATATTCAATTAGCGACTAGATAGACGATAGCTTTAATTATTTAACGGTACAGCTTTTAATCGGTGAAGAGTTTGATAACGGGTGACAGAGTGAGAGAGGGAGGCTCGGGGGATTGTCAGAGTGCGAGTGTGACAGTGAGAGTGAAAGTGGTGAGTGCACGAGGATAGGATGAGTAGAGGGATGATGAAAGAACGGGATGTAATATAATGAGATGAAAATGAGTTTAAAAAAATAAGAAAATTGGAATCCGCTGCCACTGCCATCGCCGACGCGAAGAATGGTGGTGAGGATGGTAGCGGGAAGACGCAAAGGATGAATTTACCGTTGTCGAGGATAGGAGGAAGGAAAATCATATCGTAAACCTAATAATGAATATTTTACAAAATAAATGTAGATAGAGATTCGGAAATTATCGATGAATCCCTCTTTAACCCCCCTGTCCGCCAATCCAAATTCCAAGATTCCTCAATTCCCGGGAAGTACCAGTGCGGTTTGGAAAACGAGTGGGACTTACACTTATTGAAACCTTAAAGAAAAATCCTACATCGCCCTTATCCAAGCCTCGAATGCCGACAACCCGCCCCGTCACGGGACATGCGTGATGCGAAAAAATAATACGCAGATATACGATCCAAAAAAAAAAGGATGAAAAGACAGTGTCATTCAGTAGTGAAAATAAAATGAAAAAAATGTATCGAAAGGGGAAATACCTAAAGTAATAGTTTATTTGTATTTCATTTCGAACTGTATTATAGCTTAAAGAGTATCCTGTACATTACATAAACACAACACAAGCACTATTGTTTTAAATTGTACGTTTATGATTATTATACGAAGATAAAGAAGAAAATAAATAAGGTATGCAAAATATTGAAGATATATGAGAGATTTATTGATTGTAGCTCTTAAGGGTCTCTTGAAACAAAAGATTGAAGATGAGAAAGAAATATCTTCACGCACCCGCGCGTTTTACCAACTTAATTATAGTATCCATATCTTCCAAGAGAAAAAGTATGAACCTAGTGCGATTTATTACTAGTTAACAATTATCATTATTATTGTCCCCGGGTGACGTCATCGGCTCTGTCGTGAATTTTCCTTGATTTTTGATTCCCCACTTTCGTCATTTTCTCGTTATGACAGCCTTCATTTCTCTTAACGGACAACGATACGAACTGTAGGCTTACAGAGTTGTATCGTTATCGCAAATCTGATTGAAGAAAATTTGATAAGAGATTGGGTTACGATACGTACGGTATATTAAAAAAATAATGGCTGGCATGGAATGACGTAAGTGTGCGAACCGAGACAACAAAGATTTAAACATGGATATGAGGTATACGCTCGATATCCCGGACTTTGTAAAATATTCGTACATATATATACATATATATATATATATATTGCGTTGTTCTAATTTTGTAGGTGAATTTTACTTAAATTTTTATCAGTTTACAAAACACAGTAGTGTTATATACGCGATACACGACTCAGACACACGGATGAATGGAAGATTTTCTTCATTGTATATACATATATAATTATATTATTCATATCACTGTCTCCTTTCAAGAATTTCTAAATTAAAAAGCCTGTATTAAAAGTAACAAGATTCTTTTTGCGTTACCTTCATTCATTAATCCTCATTAGGCATGAAACGACGAAAGCATGATTGTGCCTCCATCATTCTTCTGTTTGAATCGCCCAAAACTATTAACACGTGAACAAACAGTTAGTTCCAAAGAACAATCATAATAAACTTCCGTGATGTTTGTACAACAATCACGCAACGAAGGTACATACTAACTTGGAATATTTATGCTCCGACGATGCTGCCATCTATGAATCTGCTACGGAAACTCCATCGTAAGTTGCAACAACAGAGGTAAGTATGGAGATGCTCAACGCTTCGGCTTTAGGCGATACCAAAGCATGGCGCTAAATCGTAGCGGCAAGTCTGGAAGTAGGATTCTGTGATCATCGCCTCCGTCGACAATGCAAATCCCGTCGTAGTCGAGCTAAACGTGAACACGAACGCGTAGCTTGGCGGGCAGAGGTTCTCCGCTACTCACCGCTGGTTCCCAAAGCAACTCTTAGAACGAGACCGGGAAATATAGAACTTCTCAAGAATTATTGAAAAAGCTTATTGTTGAAATATTTTTAAGACATTTTTAAGAAAGTGCCAACTTGACACCCGTGTAGCACCTCAATTTTTACTAAATGTTATTGGATCTTGATTTACTTTCAAAATTTATTCAAAATATAAAATTGAAGCTAAATGAAAATTTTGCAGAATATACGGAGTAGATAAAATTTGAATTGAAATTGTAGAATATCGAAAATAAATTACATTCAAATTGAAATATTAATAAATTAAGTGTTTGTAACATTAAAATAATTAATTAAATCAATAAAGTAAAATATGATCACTCTGAAATTGGAAATTCAGGCCAAGCATATTTAGAAATTACTGGAAGTTGCCCAAAATTGTATGCGCGCAAATTCGTCGCGGCAGGACTCTGGGAGTGGGAGATGGCAGAGAGTAGGGGTGAGCGCTGGAGGTAGCGCCCGGACTCCGAGCGCTCATTCTTCCACGAGCCAGTCTCCTATACTGGTCTCTTGGAATCATTAGTCTTATTCATTTTCAACATTCTTCTCTTTCTATATTTATTTCTTCTTTACATTCATATTTCTTTATCTGTCATTATTTACTTTCTGATTTATCTCTTTCTTTATTTCTTCTCTACTTTTATATTCCTTACTTTTCTACTTCTTAACTTCTTTATTTCTATCTTCCCTTCTGTCTTCTCGTTTCATTCTATTCCCTCTCACTTTCCATTGTGCTTGTTTTACTTGTCCTATTCCTTTGGTCGGGTCGAGCATATTAATTCAAGTAGTCATATAAGAGTAGTCATCCGGTTAGTGCAGCTAGACTTAAGACCATGGTGTCGGGGGTTGCCCTTCCGCCTCTTCCGCTGAGCTTGCTCAGTGGTTGGTGGCCCAAGTTGTGGCCGCAACAGGACCTTATGGGTCTCCCGACGGGGGCCTTGAGCCCCCTTAGGGTATCTACGGCCATGGTCTTTCGTATAGTGAATCTAGCCAGGTGTCTAGCTCTCGCGTATTAGTATCATTTGTTCGCTTTGCTAAAAACGCTCCAACATGTCGTTGACCCTTGGGCACTTGTGTGGGTAGAGACGATCCTATTTGTCCGTGGGGAGGTCGGAGGGGTAGTCCGTTGACTTTGGGTAAAGTCCTACTTGTGCTTGTGCTTGGGGGTCACTTCACTTGGGATAGGTGCGGGTGCTATTGAGCACCCGCTAGTATAAAGTCACCCTCTGTCGGAGACATTTTGCGCGGGGATCGATGGCTAACGGGGCCCGCCGCCGGCGGCGGGCGTGGTTCCTTACGTCTAACCCACTGGGCTTGCCCGTGGGAAGGGACGGAGGTTGTAGCGTTAAATATCGTCCTTCCGGATGTCCCGGCGTGCCCGCAAGGGTTCGCTGGGTGCTACGCCCGCGGTCTTTCGTTGCGGTGAATCTTGACTAAGGGCAGACCTTTCGCGTTTAACTTGTCCCTTTTGCGTTTAACTCATCTTAGCTTCTTCGCGTTTAACTTCACCTTACCCCCTTGTGCGTTTTTCTTGTCCCTCGACCCGACTTCCTTCCCTTCCTGAGGTTTTTCCCCCCTAGTCCTGTGCGCGAAAGCCGCAGGACTCGGGGGTTTTCCTCAAAAAAAAAACAAAAAAAAACACGGTCCCCTATGGGGCTTCGCATTGTCGAAACTTCAAAGGGTAAATTCATGTTAAAGACTTCGTATTAGTTCCAATTTTCGCCGATAAGGGGGCAGCACCTCCTGGGCACGATAGGTGGCGCCATCTCTGAGACAATGAGGGAACTATCTCCGATTAAATAATTCTATTTCTAATTTGAAATTCGCATTGTCGAAACTTCAAAGGGTAAATTCATGTTAAAGACTTCGTATTAGTTCCAATTTTCGCCGATAAGGGGGCAGCACCTCCTGGGCACGATAGGTGGCGCCATCTCTGAGACAATGAGGGAACTATCTCCGATTAAATAATTCTATTTCTAATTTGAAATTCGCATTGTCGAAACTTCAAAGGGTAAATTCATGTTAAAGACTTCGTATTAGTTCCAATTTTCGCCGATAAGGGGGCAGCACCTCCTGGGCACGATAGGTGGCGCCATCTCTGAGACAATGAGGGAACTATCTCCGATTAAATAATTCTATTTCTAATTTGAAATTCGCATTGTCGAAACTTCAAAGGGTAAATTCATGTTAAAGACTTCGTATTAGTTCCAATTTTCGCCGATAAGGGGGCAGCACCTCCTGGGCACGATAGGTGGCGCCATCTCTGAGACAATGAGGGAACTATCTCCGATTAAATAATTCTATTTCTAATTTGAAATTCGCATTGTCGAAACTTCAAAGGGTAAATTCATGTTAAAGACTTCGTATTAGTTCCAATTTTCGCCGATAAGGGGGCAGCACCTCCTGGGCATGATAAGTGGCGCCATCTCTGAGAGAACGAGTAAACTTTTGTTGAGAAAATTGGGATTTTGAAGCGCCCCCTATTGTTGATATATGGAACTAAAATTTGCAAGATTTGCTGTGAAAATCCGGATTTTGAAGCGCCCCCTATTGTTGATATATGGAACTAAAATTTGCAAGATTTGCTGTGAAAATCCGGATTTTGAAGCGCCCCCTATTGTTGATATATGGAACTAAAATTTGCAAGATTTGCTGTGAAAATCCGGATTTTGAAGCGCCCCCTATTGTTGATATATGGAACTAAAATTTGCAAGATTTGCTGTGAAAATCCGGATTTTGAAGCGCCCCCTATTGTTGATATATGGAACTAAAATTTGCAAGATTTGCTGTGAAAATCCGGATTTTGAAGCGCCCCCTATTGCTGATATACGGAACTAAAATTTGCAAGATTTTCCCAGCAGAAGTTCACTTGTCCTCCCAGAGATGGCGCCACTTATCATGCCCAGGAGGTGCTGCCCCCTTATCGGCGAAAATTGGAACTAATACGAAGTCTTTAACATGAATTTACCCTTTGAAGTTTCGACAATGCGAATTTCAAATTAGAAATAGAATTATTTAATCGGAGATAGTTCCCTCATTGTCTCAGAGATGGCGCCACCTATCGTGCCCAGGAGGTGCTGCCCCCTTATCGGCGAAAATTGGAACTAATACGAAGTCTTTAACATGAATTTACCCTTTGAAGTTTCGACAATGCGAATTTCAAATTAGAAATAGAATTATTTAATCGGAGATAGTTCCCTCATTGTCTCAGAGATGGCGCCACCTATCGTGCCCAGGAGGTGCTGCCCCCTTATCGGCGAAAATTGGAACTAATACGAAGTCTTTAACATGAATTTACCCTTTGAAGTTTCGACAATGCGAATTTCAAATTAGAAATAGAATTATTTAATCGGAGATAGTTCCCTCATTGTCTCAGAGATGGCGCCACCTATCGTGCCCAGGAGGTGCTGCCCCCTTATCGGCGAAAATTGGAACTAATACGAAGTCTTTAACATGAATTTACCCTTTGAAGTTTCGACAATGCGAATTTCAAATTAGAAATAGAATTATTTAATCGGAGATAGTTCCCTCATTGTCTCAGAGATGGCGCCACCTATCGTGCCCAGGAGGTGCTGCCCCCTTATCGGCGAAAATTGGAACTAATACGAAGTCTTTAACATGAATTTACCCTTTGAAGTTTCGACAATGCGAATTTCAAATTAGAAATAGAATTATTTAATCGGAGATAGTTCCCTCATTGTCTCAGAGATGGCGCCACCTATCGTGCCCAGGAGGTGCTGCCCCCTTATCGGCGAAAATGCGAACTAATGCGAATACTTTAATAAAAATTGATCCACTAAAGTTTCGACGATGCGACTTTCAAATTACAATTAGAATTATTTAATCGGAGATAGTTCCCTCGTTGTCTCAGAGATGGCGCCACATATCATGCCCGGGAGGTGCTGCCCTCTTATCGGCGAAAATTCAAACTAATGGAAATTCTTTACTATGAATGTTTGATAATTTCAAAATTCGAAAAAAAGTGTGCGAGTACCAAAAAGTAAAGCAATTTTTTGAAAGTGGCCCTATCGCAATCTAACCTGTACCAGCCTCTTCTATGGACCATTCTGACTTTCTGCATTAAGAGATCTTTCAAAATTTCAAGGAAAAAGCCCTAAACCCAGCCGTTTTCGAGATACAGCCTCCCAGAGGTGCAATTTCGAGAATTGAATTTCAAACTATATTAGGAGTAGGTGAAGGATGCAGTTAGGACGGAGAAGAGTAAGAGAGAGACAGAACTCATTCGTACTCTGGGATATTCGCATAGGGCAAAATAATATCAACGTGTATAAGTGTTACAAGATAATTTATTCAACAAATGCAATAATGATACAGTATACAAAGTACAGATGTACATATA